AAGTTTGGGAGTTGATAGATACAATTATGATAATACTTAATAAAAGAAAATTGATGTTTCTTCAGTGGTATCATCATCTTTCTATGTTGATTATGTCGTGGTATGCTTCTTACAAGGAATCCAGCTATCTAGTGATGATTGTCTATGTTACTGTTTTCGTACATTCTTTAATGTATACCTATTTTACTGTCAAATGCATGGGAATTAAGATTTCTTCAACCATAGCGATGTTTATTACGGGGATTCAAGTCGCTCAAATGTTGTTTGCGTTTCTGCTTACGTGTTGGACTTATTGGTTACTCATAAATGAACAACCATGCGACACTCCTATTGAGATTTTAAAATTCTGCTTTGTGATAGCTCTGTCATACGTGTATCTGTTTATGCAATTGTTTTATAAATCTTATATTTGCAAATCTCAGATATATAAAAAAAGAGATTAAAAAAACAATATGTTCTTACATGCTACAAAGTTTTGTTGTTAAAAAATTATTAATATAATACATAATAATTAATTAAATGATATGCTAATAAATAACCATACTCCTATCGCATCGGATGTAATATTATAAATATTGAAAACTTAACACACAAAAAAGTTAATTGTTTTATAAGAATTGTTTTTAATTCTTAATGTGTAATATTATAATGTTAACTCATATTGATGTATATTATAATTCTTACTATTTACAACTTATGTCTTATTGTTACCTTATCAATTTTTTAAAATGTTTTTTATACGCTTTGTAAGACAGTGGTACTTTCATGTATTTTACTTTTATGTTTTACTTATAAATGAAAGTGGAAATGTTACATCATATACATACAATTACATTTGTAAAAACTAAGTATATGACTAAGGTAGTTTTGCTGTGTTATAATCGAAAGTTTGCTTTGTTTAAAAATAAATTATTAGATAGAATTTTGTATTTAATAATTTCATTTTGCTTGGTATGTAATTTTACAACAGTTATATTTTAAAATATTTAGAACACTTATCTAAATAATAATATTAATCGCCTAATTGAAATAATATATTGACTGTACTGAACACAACGTTGATCACTAAATACTAAAATAAACAGTAGAAAACATGCAGGTGAGACCGACGTTTCTTGGGCAAAAAGTATCGATATCTAAATATTGTTATTTTTACATTATGTCCGATTTTACTGGATTACACCGGGTGCAATAATTACATTTTCCCCTCTTCTGATAGTAATTATAAAAATATAAATGCGTTTAAAAATATGTTCGATTTTTCACAAACAAGCAAAATCCGCATCTAAAATAGTACTTTAGACTTTTTTCAGAAATCAGGCAAATATGTGATGACATAAAATGTATTAAATTATAAACAAATAAACTTAATAAGTTTAAGAAATTACAAAAAAGCATTATAATAAAATAAGTATACAAATATGAAACGTAAAATCATCGGCAAATTTTTAAAATTTACACATAATACTATATTAATATATTAAACCTATTTACACACATCACTTGTTACAAAGATACGTTGATGAAATTAAAGTACTTGAAATTTGTAGAGGTTAAACACGATTACAGAAAAAATATAATTTATAATTTAGCACGTTTTCACACAGCGTTACCACAAATCCATCTGTGTAAGAAATGAGATTTCCAACGTATATGTGAACTTTGTCAGAAAACCGTTCGCATCGTATTAAAATATAACCATATCTTGATTACGCTATATGCAGATATAGTCCATCGAAACCATGAAACTGACGTAAATACGCAACCTCATTATCTACAGTTTATGACGAAATAGCAAAAACAACACCGATGATCTACGTCTTACAAGGGTACACCGAATGTCGATAATTTCAACATAAGCTACAATACATTGTTTCCACCACACGCTTCATAAAAAGAAGATAGAAGAGTATTCTGACGATATTAATTAATAACAAAAAAATACAACACTACACTGTCGTTTTCCGCCTACGATTAAGAAGAAAGTGCAAATTCACTAAACACCTTCCTCATTGGACGAGTACAACAATGTAGTAATATCAGAGCACGAGAAAAAATTTTTAAGGCAGAAACAAAGGAAAAATGTATAAACATTAGAAAACAAAAACGTTTTTTGTATGCATGGCAGACATTTTTATAAAGTAACAAACTAACACAATTTCATGCGAATGTTAAACATAAGTTTTTCATAACATCTTACCTTTCGATTACCACGTGCATGTCGTGGCTATAATTTGGCTATGGGAAGGCTGCGGATACATCTTAATTAATTAAAAAATCATGTCTGTTAGGTGGCGTTGATTGAAGCACGAGGTGTGCTTACCTTTATTGTAGAGTTTGTTAATTAAACCCTTTTAGTTAGAAATAAAGCTGTTTTGTTGTCAAAGGATTGGATTAATTGTGAATACCGATATTCTAGCATGAGAAATTAACTTAACAAAGGGTTATGGGCCCAAAAAGAAAATTTCAACGTCGATGCAACAGGATCGAACGATCGACCACGGTAAGCCTAAATTTGCTATCTTAGAAACCGAACCGTTATAACGAATAGAATGGCCGAAATAGGACATGGACAGTTNTTTAAACCCTTGTCTTTCCGAGACGTCTATGAGAATGCCCCGGGAAACGACTCAAGCTGTTCTCAAGGTCATCCAGCTATGTAAAAAATGGCTCATCGGTGTTAAATTTGGCAGAAAGGCGAGACAAAGGAACTTAAACTTGAACTTAAACTTAAACTTTTTCGTTTTTTTCAGTTTTAAGTATAATTTATGTATTTTTTATGCTTAATTACATCATAATTAATGACAGGTGGTCGTTAAAAGGTTAAAGTAAGTTTTATAGATTTAAAGTTTATAATGTTCAATTTAATTTTTAAAAAAATGTGTAAAATATATTGGTTTGGTCAGATATAGGAAACTGCATTTCTTTTATATAAAATTTTTATTTAATTTTAGACAAAATTATTCTATGATATTTATAGGAAAATTATATTTTCTAAAACGAAGGAAACTGGTAAAAGTCACTTCCTTCAACAGAAGTTGAACATCCTTTTTGTTTTCCCTTATCTCCTAAAAATTTCAATCACCCTGGGATTTATTATCCAGCGCCACTGTATATTACATTAAAAATATTTCTTTATAGTAAATTTTTAATAAAATATTATTCCTGGTAAATTCTATTGAAGTAAAATATGATTGGGAAATTGACGCTTAATTTTAAAAATAACGGCAAAAATGGACGTTTCTTACATCTGGAATTACAGACGGCGCCACCGGATTTATTCAAATTTGAAAAACGTTACAACTCAATCGTTGAAAGAGCAACAAGAAAGAAGCTGAGATATTTTGTGTTATTAATTTATTTTGGAATGGGCAATTGTTCCGAGGAGAAATGAAAGAAACGTTTTCGGCTATTCAAAGGTAAAACTTTATAATCAGTCTGTCGGGCGCTGTTTTAATTATTGATTAAAAGACAATGGAACAAGATGGTTGTTGCAGTAGAGTATTCTTTGATACGCCTACAGAAAAATTTCCAAAAATTTATAAAAATCCATAACGGGTTGAAATGCTGAGTGTTTCCTTAACTGAATTCTTACATTTTCAGAACGAAGTTAGATGAAAGACGAGAGAAATTATGGAATCGTTAGAAGAAGCGTGATGCCCCGATTACTTGTACATGAAATTCCGCTGCAAACCGGAAATCACGCTATTTCTATTCAAAGTTTTTTCCCGAAAGCAATTATAGATGATCGGCACGACTCTATTGTTAAAAGAAAAGAATGATGTACGGGGGCAAGACACTGCTAATTGCAAGTGCAGAGCATACCTTTTAAATGAAGTAAATAATCAATATGGTTAAAAACTGCAACACGGCATTGTGACCGTGTCACAATAAATCGCCACTCATTATTAATAATTTTTTATATTGTTTAAAAGTATTCATTCCTTTTCAATAATACAAGGTCTGTTCAAAAAGTATCGGACCTTTTTTTTTCCGCGTAAACCAATGATGCGAGAGAGGCCTCCTTCGGTGGAGTTGTGGAGGGGACAGTCATGCACAGCCCTGAATTTTTTCCCGCCTGCAGGAAGCGTCAGTCGTTGGCAATCGGCGTATGAGTGAGGTCATGTAGTGCGCTCTCGTCGGATTTCACTAAGCTGGAAAATGACTGAACAACGTGAGCAGCGATATTACATCAAATTTTGCCAAAAACCTTGGCGATACCCGAGTGTAAACCATTCGCAAGATTCAGCAGACTTTCGAGGACGATCCTCGAGGCCAAAAAAGCGCGGCAGGTCCGCAGCAATATCAAAGGTCATGTTGACAGTTTTTTCGACTCTCGTGGGGTGGTGTGTCGTGAGTACGCACCACAAGGCCAAACCATCGCAAAGGAGTACTACCAGCAGGTCCTTCGTCGTCTTTACGATACAGTGTGACGCAAACGACCGGATCTGTGGTCGATCAAAACTTGGCAGCTCCATCGTGGTAACTCATCCGCTCATTCTGCGCATCTGATTCGGGCTTTCGTCGCCAAACACAATACTCCTGTGGTTCGTCACGCTCCGTACTCTCTCCACATGGCTCCGTGTGACCTTTGGCTATTTCTCAAGCTGAAAATGCCGCTAAAAGGAACCCAAATTTAGTCGAGAGAAGACATCATGCGAAATGCGACGGACCGGATGATAACCATTCCAAAAGATGCGTTCCAGCAGTGTTTCCAGCAATGGCAGGAACGCTGGGAGAAGTGTATACATTACCAAGGAGACTACTTTGAAGGGGATTAGGGTTTTGTACCTCAAAGTCAATAAATTATTTTTGCTGACCAAAGGTCCGATACTTTTTGAACAGACCTTGTATTCGAATGAAATATTATTTATCTAATTTCAATTTGTAACTTTCGAAAAATACAGAAATGAAAACAATTGGAATTTAAACATTAGATGGTGCCACTTATTATTATTTTTCAGAAAATTAACAATTCATTTACAGAGAAAAAAAAGCAAATGCCCATTCAGATAGAAAAGTCTGATTCAGCCCATTCAGATAGAGAAGTTCTGCCGTTTTCTTCGGTTCCGTCCGAACTGAAAAGTGGAGAAGAAACGACAATAAATAGCTGAAGATTTCTCGGGTAACAGTTCTTTATCTATGGAATGGCCCTAGAGTTTGATTTGTGGAATGTGCTAACAAGTATTAAAAGTGCTTTACGTTTTTTGTTGAATGAAGTTCCTTGACTTATTGTAAACAACCGTAAGTACAACTTTCATTTTTTAGGCATTGTTAAAGCCACAATTTTTAGGAAAAGGCTAGAAATGGTTGTTTTTAAAATTTCAAATTCTTCAATCAAAGTTGTGAAATATGAAAATAAAAAGAAAGGATCTTCGTAAAATACAATATTATCTGATCTACTTGTTTTTGAACATAGCAGATAAAATTATTTTAAATATCCTATTAATAANTCTTCAATCAAAGTTGTGAAATATGAAAATAAAAAGAAAGGATCTTCGTAAAATACAATATTATCTGATCTACTTGTTTTTGAACATAGCAGATAAAATTATTTTAAATATCCTATTAATAACTAATCAATGCATTTCACATGTATATGTATTCTTGTTTAAGAAAATTAACTTAAAAACGTTTATTTTTCAGATCTTGAACCCAGCTTGAATTTTGTGGCATGACGTGTTCAAAAAAGAATTTCTGAAATCATTTAATTTGAAATACTTCATTTGTTTTATAAAATAATGTATAACATCATTCTCGTATCTGATTTCAAAACTTTGTTTTTAGATTCACTATTAAACAATAAAGAGAAAAGAAACAAATGAAAAATTGTTTCCAGGAAAAAGGATGAGTCGAGGAATGCGTTTAAATTCTGTTTACAGAAGACTTAATTGAAGGCAGTGATAAGAAATTATACGAGAATATGAAAAAGGAAGAATATATGTCAAGCAAATGAAGAGAAACGAAAATGAAATGAAGAAGATATTTTAAGTAATTTCCAAATATGTTATATGTTAAAATACTCTTCACATAAATTGCTTTGAGATAAATGTATAAAGTACATTAATTTGTGATAGCATGTGTACACTGCTTGGAAATATTTGCAAATACTGGTGTAAGCAGTTTACGTATGATTTATTGTTTGATGTGGGGTGGTCTAGTTAGTTGTAAGGTATCAATTTACGTTTAAAGAATCTTTCTAGAAAGAAAATTCTTTTTCTATCTGCACGCAAACTCTAACAATACTTTAAAATCAGCGATTAATTTTAGATATTTACGTATTCGATTAGCAATAAAGTGAAGGGAGTTTTAGGTTTAATGCTCTAATCGTATTTTACAGTTTTAAACAATCAGAAGTCAAAAAATGGGAAGTATCCATGTGGCAGTTGCGAGAAAGAATATGTTTCGAAAAATGGGTTAAATTATCATCGAAAGATCCACACTGGAGAGAAACCCTTTGCCTGTGATCATTGCAAGCAACGTTTTGCACATAAAGGAAACCTGATTCTACATCTTCGAACTCACACGGGGGAGAAACCATTCTCTTGTGACCATTGCAAACGAAGTTTTACGCAAAAACATCATCTGATAGAACATATTCGTCTTCACACCGGAGAGAAATCCTTTATTTGTGATCATTGCAAGCAACGTTTTGCACGTAAAGGAACTTTGATTCGACATCTCCGAACTCACACGGAGGAGAAGCCATTCTCTTGCGATTATTGCAAACGAAGTTTTATACTAAAACATAATCTGATAGAACATCTTCGTCTTCACACCGGAGAGAAACCATTTTCTTGCGACCATTGCAAGCGAAGTTTTACGCAAAAACATTATCTGATAGAACATCTTCGTCTTCACACCGGAGAGAAACCATTCTCGTGTAATCATTGCTTACAAAAATTTCGTGTTATAGCTTCTTTAAAGTATCATATTATTAAACATCATATTAGTAACGAATAATGAGTTGTGGAAATGATTTTAGTACATTTCTTTGAAAAATATGTAATACTCGTATTTTAGATTTTATTTAACATGAAACAAGAAATTTCTAAAGTTTGATTTTTTTCGTTTTGTAACTTTAATTTTGTGCATAAAACAATTTTATGTACCGAAAAAAAGATGGTTTTTAGAATAAATAAAAAATTCATTGATTAGAAAGTAATATAGTTATTTTTACTTGTTTGCGTACGTGTCATTTCTTTTGGGCGATAACATTCATTTGTATTATATATGTAGAATTCGTTTATTGTTAGAAGTGTATTCAGAAACATGACAAGTGGAAGATCAGTTGTTGTCACTCGTTTTATCTTCACATACGAAAGAGATTAGAATAAGTGAATTTTACCGTAAATATTGTTTTTTTTTTTTTAAATCATAAACAGTAAAATTTTTTAATAACGAAAACATTTCATTTGAAAAATATATATGTCACACAGACAATCAATTTCCAAACGTTGTATACACATTAAAGTGAAATAAATACGAGAGAAACATTGCGAGACATAATTTATTACGTGTCATTTTTGTTTCAGATAAATTTTACATTATATTGCATTAAAGTGATTTTTCCTTACGAACAGTTTCAATTTCAGTGAAAATAAAAACTGATGGAAAGGAGTATACTTTCTGACAGTTTTAATAGTTATGAAATGCATAATTGCGCATAATAATAGTAAATAAACGTATTGATCTTAAACGTCAGTAACTTATTGGACTTTGTCAATGTGATAATTCCTCGAAAGTAACTGTGTCTAAACCGGGTTCATATTTAAAAATTGAGTTTGATCTTTTAATTTTTGTTTATAATTTTTTTTGTTTTTCAAGTCGTACGTACTTTTTAACAGCCAGGAATTTCGATCTAAAGGCTGTTTATTTTCTCGATATCGCCAAATACTTTTAATGGCAGCTACAGAAATTTGTCGAGTCATCGTTGAATTACCTTCTGATCTGTTCCCATATTGGTCGAATTCTCTAATTTCTGCAGGACTATCGTTTCCAACTAATTCTTTTGAACTAATAGCGTTTTCTATGGAAACGGTCTGATTCGGAACTGTTTCTGTTAGGAAATTGTTGAAATTTTGATCCGAACATTTTGTGCTCTGTGATTTTAACGAAATTCCTTTTTTTCGTGGCAAAATTATATTACTTTTCGCGTAACAGTTTTTTGCATGAATCTTTAATTTTACTTATTACCACAATTCGTTTTTTTCCTTTTGTTTCGTTTCCGGAGCTTGGTCTCTCTAAGCCATTTGTACTTTTGAATTTGCATTTTCTGTGGTGCTTCGATGATTTCCTCATTCGGCTCTTGTATCGTTTTTTGTCTATTTAAACTCATTGCTAAAAAAGATAGTTCAGATGATTTTGAAACCACAGTATTTCTTGTTTGTACTTTATAGAGACGGTGTTCAGTGTCTTCAGAATGAATCCTCACTACTGCAATTGCTCCATGAATTTTTCTGATTGGATTCACAGTTTCCATTTTTACTGTTTTTTTCCGAATAAATTCCAGTATTTATTACGGGTTTGGTTATATTTTTCTCGGAAATAACAAAAATTTATGTTTTTGAAATCTGTTTGTATATCCATAATTGACTTGGATATGTCAAAGGATGAAAAATTTCAGACGATTTTCATCCGAAAGAGTTATTTATATTTATTTTCATAAACTAAACCTTGGATTTCAGCTCATTCAGCTCTTCTTGAATTCTCCTCTGATTTTGCGTCAAAAATCAAAATGTTGAAAATAGGTAGTAAATTATGCTACCAATAATTATTTGTGTTACCCATCTGAATGCAAGGTAACTTGCAGATGTGTAAAAGTATTCAAGCCTATCATATCACCATGATAGACTTGAATATTTCTATTTGTGGCTTCGGAAATTCTATAAACATTATTTTTACACAATTTTCTTAAAGCTTATTCTGCATTTATTTAATCTACAGGTTAATTTTTTTAGGTAAACAAAAGTGTATTCGTATAAGCAGTATTTTATTTTTAATACGATGTAATATACCAATTTCAATTTGTAATTTTTAAAACTGATCTGTTTAGCAATCTTCCTCCTGACTTTTTCAAACGTTACGAATAATTAAAATTTTAAAAATTTTAGTCAGGATTATTTTGAACGTAAGGTTGTAGCCTATAATCATTGTTAGTATTTTAGTTTTTACATTAAGGGGTATGTATTATTTTCGAGAAAAGGCAAAACAGGGTAAAAACGAAAACTGGTGTTATATGGTGTGTTCACGTACTAACAGTTTACCAAAAGTAATGTTATCAAATTCATTCCTAACATTCTGTACAACGAAGTGTGCTTTTTAACAATGTTTAACGCGTGGAGGCGCTCCCTATTACTTTCTGGTATTGGAGATCTATTGATATGCCTTCTGAAATACTAATTACCTTTAGGGTGTTTTTTTACTTCTATGTGTTCTTTAAATTTCGTTTTATATGTGTGAGATCAGCCGGGGGTACACTAATTCGTTAGTACCACTTAATCGGCCTATTCCGTGAGAATAGTTCTCCGAGTTTCGAATCGTAAGATCCGATCGTAAAAAGTTTACATAGGAGAGCGTATTTTAAAATGATCTGAACGAGGAGTTCAGATGTTCGTCAGGATTCCTTGACACCAGTTAATCGATCTTATTATACGCGGATTAACACGCGTTTACGATCTGATTCGGACACCCAATTAAGAGACATTTTTATATAATAAACAAAGTAAAATTTAATAAATCTAAACAAACGAATACAAATGACCGATAACAACAATTTAGCGACAAGCTATAGACTAGGACTTTTTCTATGCTAATGCGCGTTCGAGAGAGAGAGCTCACAAATGATTCTAAACATACGACCTGTTAGTTGTCGTCTTCGTTTCTGTAGATATAGGACACCTTGTAAATAAAGTTCATATTACTTTCGTATGGGAGATCAATTCGTGCACAAATATAAAGATATCACTTCTTCTATGTGTAGACTCGGACTTCGTCTATCGGACTCCGTTATGGGCGTTGGCCATCAGGAGGAAAAACTGCATGGAGTTAGATGCTTCGGATCTGTCGAAGAACTCCCCTAGTTCTGACTAATTTCTCCTTTTAATTCAAAATTTCATCCAATCATCGTCCAGTAACTCTTTCGTGAGAACGGATGAGAGGGGGATGAATGAGGGGTAACCATTTCCCATCTGAGCGAGATTTTTAACGGCTAAGGGAAAAACAGCGGATGTTCTCTTCGATGAAAGGAAGTAACATTTGTTATCTGGTTTTTCCCACGTCTAAAACAATATTTTTTTTCACAAAAACGAAGTAATATTTTGTCGATATTTTAAACATATTAATAACATTATTAACTTAGACCCAGGGCCTTTCGGATCTCACATATGGGTCTTTATCTAAACGTAACACTGTTATATTGTTTTTATTTATTTGAAAATTATGCCACTTCTATGGTTGTACCAGGGAGAAGTATTATGTTTTAGCGAATGGCAGCTTCATATTCTTTAATTTTGTTCCCAGTAGTTTGTAAACTATTGAAACAGTTTACAAACTTGTATGCAACTCTCATAATTCAAAAAGTTACATCGGCAAAACAGGCGGGTTATTAAAAAAATAATTGAAGTGAATTGAAATTCTTAATTAAAAAATCCATCTAATAATATCAATTCGCTCCAGAAAGTTACCGAAAAAAGTTAGAATAGAAAATCTATTAAAATTAAAATTTAATTATCTCTAGACAAACCCGAACTTATAAATAAGAAAACAACACAAACAATTTTATATATTCATTTAATTATTACAACTGTAAATGTGTGTACTGTACAGGTATACCTCGCCTTACGTCGGTAATTGGTTCCAGGAAAACGACGTAAGTCGAATTTACCTGTCTCCGAATCTACTTATCACTAGGAAAGCATTTTAAATAATATATGGTTAATAAAAATCTATTTTAAGCTTACAAACAAATAAATTTTAGTTTTTAATATAGTACAAAAAAAGTAATCTAAATTTACGAATGCGTGTACTGTAAATACAGTACATACTTGTATATATTTTAATATGATTTTATGTGCTTTAAACGTTTATCTAGTGATATTACGACTTCAATATTTGTGGCGGACAGACGTAAAGTCGAATAAAATGACTTAAACTTGATTTTTATTTTTCCATATACTTTTTTAACAAGCGACGTATAATCGGGAACGACGTAACTCGAAACGACGTAAGTCGAGGTATGCCTGTATATGATACAAGAATTCCACTCCCATTAGACAGTATAACTCAAATACATAAAAATAAAGTATATAAAAGTAAAAGTGTAAAAAACCTAGTAACAAACATATAAAAAGTTTGATTAGATAACAATAAAACATAAATATCAAACATTAAAGATTATAAAATATTCGCGTACTAAATTTTCAATATTTATGATATTAGGAAAGATAAGATAGAAGTATGATTATCATTTATTTGTATATAATATCATTTATTATTTGTTATGTATTATATTAATAATTTCTTGAATAATTGAATTTTGTAGCAATACAATGAAACAACGTACTACTGTGTTTTATTTTTATTTTCATTTACCTTAGGTCTGCAAATATAAGATTTATAAAACAATTCGGTAAAAAAATACAAATATGACAAAGCTACAACGAAAACAAATTTTAAACTCTCAAAAGGAGTGTCGCATGGTTGTTCATTTAAAAACAACCAATACATCCAACATGTAAGGAATAACGCAAACCACATTTGAGCAACTTGAGTTGCAGTAATAAACATGGCAATTGTTGAGGAAATTTTAATCCCCATGCATTTTACTGTAAAATAGGTATACATCAATGAATGTACGTAGAGATTAACGTAGACAATCATCATTAGATAGCTCGATTCTTTGTAAGCAGCATACCACGATATAATCAACATAGTAGGATGATGATAAAAGTGAAGAAACATCAATTTT